TCCCTCACATGTTGTTCCCCCCCCCAACTCCCCCCCCCACACACACACACACACAATCTCCCCTGCTGTATGACCAGCCAGCAACACCAATAGTGGCTCTGAAGCTGCTCCAGTACTCAAACACAAGACAAGCCTTCCCCCCACCTTCCTCTCCCCACATTGTTGAATGGCAGCAAAAATAGACAACCAAAAAAAAAAAACCCCCTTGTCTTGGTTTTAAGTAAATACAGTATAATGATTCTCCATGGAAACACCAAGATAACAGGAGGCAATATAAAGACCTTATAAAGAATTATGTATCATTCTAGAATGCCTGAAGTTGCCTAAAGTTAGGACCAAAGATTAAGAGAAACTGCCTGCCTTGGACAGCAATTTTATACTGGCTTTATCTGTGAAGGTAATATCACTGGGACAATACCACATAAGACTGACTGCAAAACTGCCAGAATTACGTTCACCATTTCCTAATTTTTCAATACTGGAAAGCAGCCAATTGCCATACAAAACTGGACGCACAAATTTCAAACTACTAACCTGGGAGAACACAGACTGCAATTTCAAGTCTAGAAGAACTCTTTAATTACCTTTCATTAGGAAAAACACTTTAAGGGTTCATTTAAATTATTTTAATAGTTTAGCTAAATTAACAAATTGGGGGGGAATACACTTTATCTATAGCTTTTATTTTAAAATGACCACATTTTTAATTGCCTTTTTTAAACAGTAAAAAAATCTGTAGGACTGCAGATTACCCTTGGCAAAGATATGATACGAGGAAAGCAGGTCAGTGTATTTTTGTCAACATGCTCCCTTAAGTATGCCGTTAACAGCTAAGCAAAAATAAAAAAGAACTGTTTTTTTAAGCAAGTGATCGCAAGACTTGCCAAACTCTCCAAATATAAAACTTCTCTGTGTTTTCTCGCTTCTAAAAATAAAACTTTTGTTTTAAAGTGTTAAAACTTCTGAAGTCTATTTTCCTATTAATAGAAGACAGAAAATGACTTCAAACACATTTCTTTTGCTTTATCTCATGTCTCCTAATCTTTGGCAGTAAAAATTATTTTTCTTATATAACCCACTGTACTAAGATTACTAGCTGGATTTCAAAACTTGGTGAAATTAAAATTAAGAAATAAATTCTCAAATCAATACACAAGATAGCCTAGTCAAAATACATTAAAATACATGCACATGTTTTGCTACCCAGGTCTTTTAATTGCTGCCAGCCACACAGGAAACTGGTACTCAGCTGACAAAGATACTCAGTAACTGATACCCAGAACTGCTGATTTTTCAACCTGATGCTTCAGAGTGACAACAGCTTTTAACTATCAGAAATCAAGGTTTATTATAGGTATATTATAGTACCTTTACAAACATTAAGGAAGAATGGTTTCTCAAAAGGCAAAAAGCTCAAACAGCTCCCACAATATTACAAGGAAGACAAGAAGTTCGGCAACAGCAGAATAGCTCGAGTAACTCCTTAATGCAATTATGGCATTGAACAGTTAATAGCTTCTTATCTGCAAACTGGTCATATCCACCACTGAAATTGTGTCACCAGTACAATATCTCAGGAAATAACCCAGCTAAGTTTTTCTAGTTTTCCCTAAGTAACTTCATATATAGAAACACTATACCCAGAACAAGACTAATACTATCTCATTCCATTTTAGTTTAATCCACTTTCAAAACACATAAAGCTAACCCAGTGGTGCTCAAGCTTTTGGCCCTGCATGCCAGATGAGTTGCACGGGGCCAATCCATGGCACAGATCAAGTCCCAGGTGCCAGGATTGGGCCACATGGGCCTGGTACCACCCGCTCCCACTGAGATTGGGCCCTGAAGGCCTGGCACCACCCTCATTAGCCCCACATACTGGGACTAGGCTCTGTAGCCCAGTGTCACCCCCACTCGGCCTTGTGCACTGGGATCAGGCACCCAATCCAGTGCACAGGTCCCAGGGCTCCCCATGGGTCTACAGACCAAGCACACCCAAGGGAAATCATAGCAAGTCACTCTTATTCCAGATCACCAATATCTACATATGAAGTCATGACAGAGCAACTACATTAGTTTCAATTTACACCTTACTTTAACTTGAGAATTCTCAAATGTAGACAAGGTTGCAGAAAGTAAATCTCATCACCATAAAAGAGATCTCAAACAGCAAACAAGACAGCACATACACAAATAATGCAGAAAAATTTTTTCACCCTCAGAAAGCTAAATATTTCAGATTTGGAAGACTTTCCCTGAAAGTAACACAAATCTTGAACTTAAGTTTTGTTTGAAAAATCCTAAGGTAAACGCATCTGTTTTAATTTACGTTTACAATACAAATCAACAACAATCATCATGTTCAAGAAGGGCGCACAAAAAGACCACACACTTACCAAACCTCGAGAAAGCACGTGCAGAAGAGGCTCTGTCATCATCCAAATTGGCCATTTCAAATTGGTGCAGCTAATGTCAAACGTCTCAGGCTAAACTACAGCAATTTTCAAAGCTGTTTAGTGAAGGTTAGAAGCAATCAGCATTAAATTAAGTAAAAGCAGTGTTAGCAGAGTTATTAACACGATGCAATACCCAATAAAGGGGATAATTAAAGTTCATTATATTTTGTTTTCCCTTTTATACTCTAACACTTGATTTTCTTTTGCCTTAGTTTTAATAAATCACATCTAATCAAGTAAGAATGTAAGTTACATAATGTTCACCTATTGAACATTGCAGTAAAATTCTTGTGTTGTTTTTTTTATTGTAAACATTTTTACATGCATCTTATCTTGGGATCTCATTCAGAACCACCAAACTCAGTAAGAATTTTGTTACCCACATGAATATGTGCCAAATGAAACTCATGGAATATACTCTAATCCAAGACTGAATAGATCACTATCAAAAATAAAAGCATTTTTCCCTCCTTAAATACAAATATAAAACATTCAGACTAAAACTATGCAAGTAATATATAGTTAAATAGCTATTTCAACAGCACTGTTTTTATCCTGCATGGTACTCATAGATTGGTTTTGGTTTTGTAATACTGTAATGGTTACACTGCTAAATGTGTTGAAAATCTAAACTAGTGCCTCTTCCGTTTCAGAAGGCAAACACAGTGAAGTAGTATACAGTTTCACAATTATGTTGAAAACTAGGCCTTAATTCTATGGCTGAGGTGCCTGAATAGGTAGTCTGTTAAACAGGATAGAGGTCCATTAGAGACCACAGTGCTCAGCTCAGACTGCAGGATAGACTTACTTGCAGGATAGATTTACTATTTTTAGCATCATCCTACTAAAGCAACAACAATCGATTGATTGATTAATTCAAAGGCATCTCAGTTTTTAGGCTAGGAACAGACATTATGTTTTACTGGTTATAAGTGATCAAAACTGGTCTATACTGATAACGGAACAGAAGAGCAGCACACAAAACTTGTCTATACCTGTAACAAGACAAAATTTTGACGGAGACTGATTTAAAAATGGCAGCACCTGGTCTCAGAATGTGGCAAATGTATCTTCTGTTCACTACCAGTCTAAACTATGTTACTTAAAGAAAACCACATAACAGATCAATTCTACCTCAGGCTTTTTGAATGTCTGTACCTAGTCTAAAAAACAGAAAACCAGCTAACATTTGTTCATAAACCTCTGTTTTTGTTTGGAAGTTTCAGATATATATTTTTTTAAAAATACAAGGGAATGATGTGCATAAGGATTAGGGATACTGTAAAATATGAGTTTCACAAGCACATTTCAAATTTGATTCGTAATTACTAAATTTTGCCATAAATATCCTATTTAAACACACATAATCAGTTTTTAACTTACTTTTAAATAAGTATGTATAACTGACAATCAAGCTAAACAATTTTGGGGCGTTTCTTTTGCCTCTAAAATTAAGCTAAGTTAAAAATGGCCTTGCTCATATGTCTGTCTACCCGTCATTTCTATTAATTTTCCTTTAATTTTTTCACTTATTTCAAATATAAACCTATATGACAACAATAGTAGGGGCAGAATAAGAAGAAAGGCACAATAAATTAATATTACTCTCTTCTGAATTTTTTAGTACAGGGCGATTGGTTGAATTTTTCTAGTAACTAGTTAAAACTAACTATCTTCATAATTTAGATAAACGTGAACCCAGATTCCACAAAAGGACTGAGCTGCACAGCAGCTCAAAGTCAGCATATTTAAAGTCCTGCTTGAGTAACTGATTTGCAACATCTGGACCAGGTTTGCAGAGGTCACTGTGGCTCAACTTTGTGCCTGATGCACAGGTCAGCCATGGTTTGGAGACAACATCCCTAGATACACATCAGCAGGAAGTGTACAGCAATCCAAAATAAGAGGCATTAATAGTATTTTTACAAAAATGCATTGTCAGTTGTGCTCAAACTCTAGGCCAGGGTGGGCAAAATACGGCCTGGGGGCCAGATGCAGCCCGCCAGGCCATTCTATCTGGCTGCGGGGCCCCTAAAAAATTAGAAAATTAATATTAGTCTGCCCTGGGCTGCCTGTCATGAGGCCCCCGAGGGCCTGCCGAAACTCAGTAAGCAGCTCTCTGCCCAAAATAATTGCCCGCCCCTGCTCTAGGCCATGGAACCCATGTGGCTCGCAGGGCTCCACACAAACCTGGAAAACTGGTGGCAGGGGACCAATAGAAATGAATGCTGCCACTGCTCCCCCACCATCAAATGTCCAAGCCTTGTGGCTATGTGATATTGCCCGATGTACTGGATTAGGCTGATGTGTGGGGCAAGGATAATGGGTCCTGATCCAGAGCATGTGGATCTCCCACCAGGGCTGGGGTGGCAGGCCCAATTCAGTGTACTTGGGGCTGGGCCCATTGGGCCCAACAGAGTATGCAAGGCTGGGGTTATGCACCAGATTACACCAACTCTGCACTGGACTGACCCATGCACTGACCCCAGCCTGCAGCCCAAGGCTGGATACCACTGCATTAAATCACAGAACGATATTTTCAAAAAGCACAGTTCAATACAGGTAATCAGTTAGCATAACAATTTGCTTATGGCAACTCTGTTGTACTCATCATTTCTTATTTATGTTAACATTACAGGGTTTGCCAACAGGAATGGTCTCAAATATTGAAATGAAGAAATAAAGTTTGATCAATATGTTGAATCATAAAGGTGCATGTGGTTGAGTGAAGGAGCCTCATTCTTGCAAAAAGCATTTTTTAGCTTCTGCTATAAAATGTCTCAGGATGCCAACAACAGTTATTTGCTATATGACACCAGAAGGTAAGGCAGGGTGGCACTTTCAAGACAAACTGCTTTAGAGAAGCATAGGCTGTCATAGGCAACATCCTATTTTGTCAGACATTATTAGCTGATGTATTCCCAGGTCAGTATCAACTTCCAGTTCAACAGTGCAAAATTACTAATACCACTATCGTAATTTAGACCCCAAGCCTGCATAAGACTTCTAGTGAGCAAATGCTTGTGTGGAGCCCATCTGAGTCCCAATTAGGAATCCGATCCCTGAATTATTATAACTGAAATGATAAGAGCTCTACTGCTTTTTTGCATATATAAAAGGGAAACAGAGATTTATATACGTATTAGCAACAGGAGGGAACAATTTGAAGCAACTACTTTCTACTGGAATTCTTTTTAAAAGGTCCTGATCTTAGTTTTTCTTTAAAATTAACTTTCAAACCTAACCCAAAATGATTGGGGTAGGTCAAATGGAGTTGAAAGCCTGACCAAGGGTAGCAATTTACAACTGCAACCGAACAACCACAGTCAACATCACATTTATGGTAACAGGTTGCCAGACAAACCAAACACCTCAGGGTGTGCAAAATGTGTGGATGGGAGACCAGACTAAAAATGAGCACCATTTATGGCAAGCTGCCTGGCTGCTCCCCAGAGGCTCTGGCTGGGGGGACTGTTTTCCTGTCCCTTGTCCTTTCATCTCTGGGCAGAGTTTCACTGGGGGACTCATCAGAGGGTCAGTGGGTGCGGTCTGGTGTGCTCTGCTCAGTGTCCTGCTCGATGAGCTCCTTTTGAATCTCTGACCTTCACTCCCCTCCCCATTTCATCTTTTATTTGTCCACAATTCAGCTGACACATACCCAACCGCCCCCTCTATGAATTGGGGGGGGGGGGGGGGGGGAAGCCCTGTCGGGCGACGGGGGGCCCGGGTCCCCCGAGAGAGGGTTTGTATTCCCCCCCCCCCCCCCCCTTATAATGTGGGGGGGGGGGGGGAGGGGAATGCTAACTCCTGCTCTGTGGGCACAGGGCCCACGTTCGCCTGACAGGTCTGACCTCTCGCTCACCAGACAACACGCGTGGCGCAGCCCAGCACTTGCCCTGTGCTCCCCGGGGTGCAATCCCACTGTGCCCGCTGAAGCTGCTAGACACTTGGGAACATAAAAGCGTGTGGCAGAGGTGTCGCGAGCCAGGGAAGAACCCACGGCTAGGGCTGGGGAGAGAAAGGGCGCGGTGCGAGCTCAGGCAGCAGCCAAGGGCTTTCGTATCACCAAAGCCGGCGGGGGGGCCGCAGGGGTGTCCTGCCTCTCAGCCACCACCCTCCCCACAGGCCTTTTTTTAGCCCAGAGGACTGCGGCGCTCGGGTTACTGCCTGCGGGTACATGGCAGCCAAAGCCAGGCGGAAGCGGGCCCCGCGCCAGCAGCCTCCACCCCGGCAGCAGGCACGAGGTCCGACCTGAGCGCTTGGAGCGGGCTCGCAGCTCCACCACCTTCCAGCTCACGTCCGCCAAGTGCGCCGCCATCGCCGCGCCGCACTGCCGCTGCTCCAGCTCCCGCCACCGGCCCCAACCCGGGCAGTGGGGCACCGCGCGACACTGTCGCAAAGCGCCGGGCCCGTCCCGGAAGTGAAGCGCAGGGATTGTGACGGCCCCGCCCGCCACGGCCGTAAAGCGCTGCTGTTGGCGGCGGGGCTGGAGGATGGGGGGTTGTGGGGTGTCGTCGCTGGTGTTGGTGTTGTGCTGTCTGCTGCGGCCCGGCCGCGCCCTGCATAACGTCACCGCGCAGCTCTTCGGGTCCGAGGCCCGCGGCGTCCTGGCGGCCTTTGGGGACTTCAACTCGGACAAGCAGACGGACCTGTTCGTGCTGCGCGGCGGTCAGTGCCGGGGCGGGCGGGATCCCCGTGACCAGGTCACTTCACCTCCGAGGTGTTGGTTGTAGCCGTGTTCGTCTAAGGATGTAGGCAGGCAAGGGTCTTTGGGTAAATCGGATATCTTTTATTAGATCAACTCAGATAGTTGGAAAAATCTAATAAAAAGATATTCGATTTATCCAAAGAGCCTTGCCTAACTTCATCTCTGAGGGAGTTTGTAGTGCATTTACTGCCCCTGCATGTGGGTGCCTTGTGGCTCAAACTCTTCCCCCACCCTTAATTTGAGGGATGTTGGTACGAGGAGCAGTTTAAATTGAACTCCAAACATGACCTCGAGTTGTTGAGTCTGACCCTGAAAGAGCAAGTCTCTGCCCTATGCTGCCCTGCCAGGGGGTCGTCCAAAAAGCACCACAGCAGGTTGCATCCTGGTCAAGATTTGGCTTTTCTGGGGTGCAGCAATAAGGCTCTGGTTGGAGCCAACCATTGGCAGTGGACAGTAGTACTGAAGCATGGCGCTTTCTTTCTTTGGCTTGTAACTCCTCATGTTGTCTCCTCGGTGGAATGTTCTTGAGGCTTTGTGCTACTTGCCAGGTGGAAAGACTCGTTGCTGTGTCATCAAAGGTATTGGGAAATCATCAGGATCTGGAAACTGTAAAAGCTGCAGTTCTGTGATCAGCCTCCTCTTCTGCAGTGCACTATGTAAAAGACATATCCTTTCCAACTTAAGGAGAAGCAGGAGTGTGGCTTCCACACAGGTGACCAGGGACCTTGCCCAGACTTCCATGGTCTATGCTGACCTCAGACTATTGTAGCTTCATGATATGTCTCCAGGCACCTGAAAAGAAAATGAATTGGTTCTCTTGTATCTGAGCCTTTTACTGATATAAAAAGCTGGTTGTGTCTTAGACCCTGCTGATTTACTTCTTTTGCCCAAGTTAGACTAAATAAAGAACAGTTCTAGCTGCTTCTCGGAGAAAGTCCAGACCCCGATGTGTCAGGGCTCCATAACATTGTAAAAACTTCAGTGTATCTGTTTTTTATACCCACTGTCTCAAACATTGTTGCTTAGATAAAGAATAAGCGTAGTTCCAATAGATCCAGTTCAGAACTTGCATTTGGATTTTTCTGGAACCGGACACTTGGTCTCCAACTTCCCTTGCCTAGAAAGAAAATTGGAAAATCTGTTGTGGGTAAGATCCACTGTGCATGTGTGGACACACGCATGCGCTGTTTAGAGCCAGTCAGATTAGTTGGGCAAGTTCCATGTCTTACTCACACCCTCCACAAGGTACTGTTTGCTATGGGTGGTTCTGCTATACTAGATTTTCGACAGCGTCCTGGCTGTTGTTGAAGATGAGTATCTGTCATTTTCCCTCTCTTGACGTCTTTGTTGGGTTATTCTGTGTTGTGAATCGCTCAGCTACCACTTTTCTGTTTTATTTGTGTAACCATGACTTTTGCCACAAAATGGTGTTCCAAAATACCATTTTGTGTTGGTCTTGCCTTTAAAGCTTTAGATATTAAAGTTGGTGAAATAGTCTTGAAAATGTGAATTTAAAATAAACCAATGAGTTTTTCTGAATTTTTGGGTGGCCTGAAAGAGCATCTCTGAAAGATGTAAACTGTTGGTGCATTTTAGTTGCTGTCCCATGATCTGCAGTTACAGGGCTGCAAAATGTGACATTTGGCCACAATTCCATAGATACTTGTGATCTGGTGTAGCCAAATGGAGGACATTTTTGTACGTTTTCCTATGAGACCTAGGGGTAAAGCCACGACTTTCCAAAGCGGTGTGTGGGACCAGCAACCTGCACTGCAAGGGTGGCTGCACACCCTGCTCCTAGCCTCTTCCACCCCCACCAGTATAGGTAGGACAGCCCACAGGAGTCCCTGGGGACTTTAAAAGCCCCTAAAGGGGATGAAAATCCCCACTTCCTGCTCAGAGGCAGCCCCTTCTCTCCTCTTTCCCCCTTAGCCCCAACTCCCCTCACTGCTGCTGCTGCTTTCTCCACTAATGAGAGGTGGAAAAACTCCAGAGCCAGCCAGCCAGGCTGAGTGGAGACTAGACTCAGCTAGAGGGGGGACAGTGACAACAGTGTAGTGGAGAGTAGGTCCCCTCCACCCTGTTCTGAGCATGTGTAGGGACACCCCTGTCCATCCCTGCTGCCACTGTCCTGATCACCAGCAGAGCACAGCACAGCACAGCCAGCAAGAACAGCTCTGGTGCTTCCCTATTCCCTGGAAAAGCAGGGAAAGTCAGGTGGGGGAAAGAGGAAGAGAGGGGGATGCCTTTAAACAGGAAGAGGAAAGGAGGAAGGGATTTTCATCTGCTTTAGGGTCTTTAAAAAGTCCACAGAGGCTCCCATGGTGCATTGCAGTTCAAAAGGGAAGTGCAACCATGTCACTACACTCCCTCTGGATCCACCCCTGGTGATCAACAATAGGTAGTTCTCATATTTTTTCTGTTTGCGCCTGGAATCCTATTCTTGATTGGCTGCCATTGTACTAGACACTATACAAACACTAGAACACAATCTTTGTTCTCAGTAGTTTGTAGCCTGCACTGATAAGGTGCCTGTAGGATGTGGGAAAGGGCATAATATGCAGTGTGTTATGTTAGCTTCATGCTTTTTCTGTGGTGGGGAAAGTATCTATCTTTAGTTAGGAGGGGATAAGGTAAATTGAAATAACAAGGAAGTAACTGAGAAGGGACCCAGAGAGGAGAAAGAGGACAGATTTGGAGTCAAGTTGAAGTTAAAAGAATGTAGAGATTGAGGCAAACACTCAGCAGTGCAAGAGGAAGTTCCCTTAAAGCTGTAGAAACTTCTCTGAGTGTCCAGATGTCCAAAAGTGTGCTTCAACTGGTTCAGCACTTACCAAATGGATAGCTACTTGCTCTTCAAGTGTCCTAACAAGGAGAGGTTAATTTCCTTGCAGCACATTCATCTTGCACCGTACTTTGGATGCAGAGAATGTGGAGTCCAGTCCATAGTAACTGTGTAAAAGGAATCATAAGTACAAGCTGGCCAGCTGGGTTTCATAGAAGATAGCATGGCATCTCTGCCATAGACAGAGAAACTCTCTACACTGGTCTCAGGATTTTCCCTGTCCATAACACAGAGTTTTCTGAAACAGCTCTCCTAGGTAACATCGTGACAACCAAGGCCGTTACAGCCTGGCTGCCTGGAGAACACAGGAAGCACAAAGTTATCAAAAAAGCAATGCTGAAGTAGTAAAGATCAAGAAAAAATGGAACCATAGTTCTATTTGGAGAGAGGCTTGGGATTATAGGGTAACTAGTGAAGATTCAATAACTTAATTTTGTAGTGGAATTTAAGGGTCATGCCATAGAAGTTACTGCAAGAGCGCCTTCAATGACATGAGCTACTAATTGGGTATTTCTTAAATAACTGTAGAGTGGCACTAACGCTTGTCTGTTTCACTACCTCTGTGCCTCTCGAAATAACATCATAGTTCCAGAAAAACTGACCGCGATGTCATGCATTGAGTTATGCAGCTACTTTTGTCTAGAGACTCAGGAAGGCAACCTTAGGAGATGCCAGAATTGTTTCGATATTTGAAAGGTTACCTTTGCTGTCATAAAAATTGGAGCTTGTTAATGTTAAAGAAACTGATGTCCAAGACCTCATTCACTCATGGCAAGTACTGGCAGGTGTGAAGGATTCAAAATTTTTGGTAAGGTTGAGAAACATGTTCATAAAGCAACAAGCTGTTTTGGATTTAACATAATTTCCTGAAGCCATGAAAAGGAAGCATTCTCCTTTATTTTCTGTTGATGCAGGAGGAAATGAGGGAACCTTTTGGAGGTTTTTTTCATCTGTACAAGCTGATCAGTAATTATTTGTATAGGCACATTATCTCAAGCAGAACTTGTTCAATATTGCTCTAAATTTGTACAACCAAAATTTAATAGGGTTTACTCATTATCACTTTTTTGCATGCTTTTTCAGGGAATGAATTATTTATCTTTCTGGCAGACCAAAAAGAACCATATTTTAAACCCAAAGTGAAGTTATCAATGATGTAAGTACTGATATGAAATGTTTTAGTGCTGAAGTAATGTTGTTCTTGGTGACAGTTATCTTGTTCTCACTTGTAGTCATTTGGAGCAAAACTAGGATTCATACTATTCTGATTTATGTTTGCTTCAATGTTTAGTTTGGTCTGCATGTAGTACTTGGGTTTTCAACTGAAAAGATAAACTTGCTGAATCTTGTTATGAAAGGTCGTTGCTATGATTTTACTTGTGGATTATGTGGGTTGTATGAGAGAAGGTGGGAGAACAAACTTTATACTCTCATGTTTATTTCTGATTTCATAACTTTGATTTTTTTCTTTTTTGTCCTTTGATTGCAAAAAGCAGAATCTTTTAATATAAGTGAACCTTCAGAGATCTTTTTTTTAACATCTTGGGCTGAGAGAATGTAATAGGTTGGAACTTATAGAGCATGCTGTTTGTCTTTCATAGTAGGATTCATTTTCTACTAAATCATACTGATGATAAAAACCAGCTAATACCTATTTTTAAAAGTTCTTAGTATATCTTTAGACTGATCTAAAACTGTTGTGCAGTATGTGGAAAATAGAGTTCTATACCTGCCCAAGCATTTCCACAGCAACTGGTGAAAAGAGTAAGTCGGAGCTCTTTTAAAACACTAATGAAGTTTTATGCTGCTTTTATCAC